CTCGAAAATCGACAATGGATGGTGTAAGCAGTGTTGAGAGCTCCATTGCCACATCTCCATTGAATTGCGGTACCCCATACACAAGATGTTGAAGTCCAGGGAGAAAAGGTGTGTCTGCTGCCATCATGTTGTATGCCGAAGAGTCAGGCCTTGTGTCATTTCCTGTCATATCGAGACTCCGTATCCAGACTGCCATCTGCTTAAACCTTGTCCAGTTGGCTGCTTGTAGCAGAGGGGAAGGCAGAAACTGTAACTTTTTTGTAAAGAAAAAAACAAGGAAAGAAAAAGGAAACTGGTGATTACAAGGAAGTGATCATGTTCAAAGCATCCTCGTATTAGCATTAAGAGATTCCTCATTGTCCTCATGTTCAACCACATGATATCCAGTGCCGGTTCACTGACAGATTTTGATCTCAAAGCCAAAGCGAATAGCTCATTGCCACCCAGGAAGGAACAAATTTCCCTGGTGATTTCCGCTATTGAGAGTGCGCAGATGGGGGATGGAGTTGTCATTGAGAGTGCGCAGATGGGGGATGGAGTTGTCATTGAATTTTTTTTGTTACATCATCACAATTTTGACTTATGTTGCGTGCGATCTGCATATTATATAACATTAACTGATGTCCATGGCCATGCGAAAGGATCCATGGATGATGTACCCTGCTTTACGTTTCCTCTTCACTGAATTTATTTCTCTTGTCCATACACCTCTTTTTGAATACAGAGGCTAACTCTTTGATTGTCCTCTTGGGGCATGACAGACGCTTTTTTGGAGCCACATTCTTTAACGCCTGAGGCACTTCATGTATTCTTGGTTCTTGAGAAAGGAAAATTGTCGCCAGAGTGGAACAGACAATTGACTTATGACAACAAGTGCACTAGAACAACAGGTTAGGTGCACATTTACCCATTTCCCTTTTTTTTATCTGTTGTCATACAAATGGCGTGAGTTTGTACATATTATTTTTAAAGGTCTACCATCATTGTGGCTATGTTCCGACTCATCTTTCCTTTGTGCCCTCAATCTGGAGCTTGGAGATGCCTGGTAACATATGGAGTGGGGAGCTTGGATAAGTAGAGTTGAGGCAATTGTTCAGTACTTATCAGTCCCCCACGGAATCCTGCAGGACTCACAGGATTCCTGAGGATTCCTGCAGGACTACACCATAATTTTGGCAAATTTGAGATCTAGGAGAAAAATTCTGTCAAGTCACTCAGGATTCATGACATTTAACCATGTGCGACATGTTTAAAGACTTCCTCTAACTGCACTCAATGAACTTAACTCTATTTCCATCCTTAAAGCATTCAGATATCAATACATAGTAGAATTTTATTCTATTTTAAATGACATGAAAATTACTTTACAAGTATATTAAAGGGAGGGGGGAAGGAGGGACAAACAGGAAGGGGGGTACAGACAGGGGTGGGAAGGAGGACAGGAAAGGGAGAACAGAGAGGGAGATAGAGAGGAAGGGAGTGGAGAGGAAGGGGGGACAGACCGAAATGGGGACAGACAGG